TCATCGACAGACTAGTGGGTACCTAATCTCACTGTTTGATTGTCCTAACAGAAACTCTACTTTCCTGGTCAGAGAAAAAACCTACTTTCCTTCTCTGTTTCGGTCCCTATCTGTCAACTTGGCTACTGAAAAAGAATAAATAATAAGTTTGCACAACTAAAACTATTCCTAAAAGCTGAAAACACACTAGTGTAAATTAGTAAATGGAATCCATTTGTATAGTGCTTTGGTGATACACACTCATTAATGAAATATAGTATAACAAAAAAAAATATATATATATATATAACCATGAAAATACTGTATGTGAAACATATAAAACATATAAACAAATAAAGTGGAAGTCCAAATACTGTGGGGGGAAAAAAGTCCAAACAATCACATCTAAATTTCAGTGTCAGTGCAGTGTGATGCCAGATTCAGTGAAGAAAATATCCAAAGTCCAAATTACAGTGTCGGTGATGCTTGCAATCCAAGCCCAAAAATGTGAGTGGAAACCGCTACCAAACACCCAATAGTGTATATGCTTACCCTATAGATGAGCCCTAATGATCAGGGCTAATCTATACCAATGGACCAACAATATCAGCTGCAGGCGGAAAATCCCCTGGATATACAGTTGCAAGAAAAAGTATGTGAACCCCTTGGGATTACGTGGAGTTTTGCATGAATTGGGCATAAAATGTGCTCTGAACGTCATCTAAGTCACAACAATAGCAGAACACAGTCTGCTGAACATAATACTACACAAACATTAGATGTTGCCATGGTTTAATTGCACATAACATGTAAACATTCACAGTGCAGGGAGGAAAAGTATGTGAACCTTTGGACTTAATAACTGGTTGACCCTCCTTTGGCAGCAATAACCTCAACCAAACGTTTCCTGTAGTTGCAGATCAGACCTGCACAACGATCTGGAGTCATTTTGGACCACTCCTCTTCACAAAACTGTTTCAGTGTAGCAATATTCTTGGGATGTCTGGTGTGAATCGCTCTCTTAAGGTCATGCCACAGCATTTCAATCGGGTTGAGGTCAGGACTCTGACTGGGCCACTCCAGAAGGCGTATTCTGTGCTGTTGCAGCCATTGTTTTTTTGTTGAATTACTTGTATGCTTTGGGTCATTGTCCTGTTGCATCACCCATCCTCTGCGGAGCTTCAGTTGGCGGACAGATGGTCGTACGTTCTCCTGCAAAATGTCTTGATAAACTCTGGAATTCATTTTCCCATCAATGACAACAATCCGTCCAGGCCCTGAGGCAGCAAAGCAGCCCCAAACCATGATGCTCCCTCCGCCATGTTTCACAGTGGGGATGAGGTTTTGATGTTGGTGTGCTGTGCCTTTTTTTCTCCACACATAGTGTTGTGTGTTCTTCCCAAACAACTCAATCTTGGTTTCATCTGTCCACAGTATATTTTGCCAGTAGTGCTGTGGAACATCCAGGTGCTCTTTTGCAAACTTCAAACGTGCTGCAATATTCTTTTTGGACAGCAATGGCTTCCTCCGTGGTGTCCTCCCATGTACTCCATTCTTGTTTAATGTTTTCCGTATTGTAGATGTGTCAACAAACATGTTAGCATGTGCCAGAGATTTCTGTAGGTCTTTAGCTGACACTCTGGGATTCTTCTTTACCTCATGCAGCATTCTGCGCTGTACTCTTGCAGTCATTTTTACAGGACGACCTCGCCTAGGGAGAGTAGCAACAGTACTAAACTTTCTCCATTTGTAGACAGTCTGTCTTACCGTGGACACATGAACATCAAGGCTTTTGGAGATACTTTTGTAACCCTTTCCAGCTTCATGCAAGTCAACAATTCTTGATCGTAGGTCTTCTGAGAGCTCTTTTCTGCGAGGCATGGTTCACATCAGACAGTGCTTCTTGAAACCAGTAAATCCAAAACAGGGGTGTGTTTTTTAAGGGCAGGACAGCTGTCAGCAACACATCCAATATCATCACACTGATTGGAGTCAAGGTTGGCTCACTCCTGGCTCCAATTAGCTCTGGGAGAAGTCATTAATCTAGGGCCTCACATACTTTTTCCTCCCTGCACTGTGAATGTTTACATGTTATGAGCAATTAAACCATGGCAACATCTAATGTTTGTGTAGTATTATGTTCAGCAGACTGTGTTCTTCTATTGTTGTGACTTAGATGACGTTCAGAGCACATTTTATGCCCAATTCATGCAAAACTCCACGTAATCCCAAGGGGTTCACATACTTTTTCTTGCAACTGTATGAACTTTGTCTGAACAAACATATGGAATCTCATCACCTGGTCTCCAGTCTATCTGGAAAGAGAGAAGGCTCATAGTGTTCACTGTTTTAACACTCTGTATAAAAAAGTATCTGTTTACATTAAAAACAAAAGTATCTAAGCTACAGTCGTTAGTCTGTTTCCCATCTCATATCTTGCATGAGCCACTTCTTCATTCACATGTGGATAACACTTTAGTTAGTGTTGGATTGCAGAGTCCGCCTTCAAGAGATGGTTATTCTGTGTGGTTTTAGAGGAACAGTGTCTCTTGTGGTCTACTTCAGATGCCATTATCAAGATCGCCACAGGTTGCAAGAGCGTTTCATACTTTCCTGCACTTTGCTCTTGGTCCCCTGCATTTTAGGTTTCTGGTCATACCATCAAGATGTTGACCCCAGGAATGGCACTGCTGTGCTTTTGGGACATTCCCATTGTGGGATACAGAAAAGCTTCCTACTGAGGGGATAGTTGGCCCAGGTTCTGGCAGACAGTGCAGGCTTGATTGTCTTAACCAGCCTTTTTTAACCTTTTCAACACTAAAAGAACTTCCCAATTTCATGGAACCACTGGTAAACATTGCTATGTTTACAACTCATGATACATTAGTGTGATGGTCAGTGAGAAGAACGCACCTTACACTTGTCATTGGGAAGAATTACCCCCTTGTAAATAGTTAAAAACATCAATAGTGTCAGAAATAACTTATATAATAGTCAGAAATTGCTCAACGAACCCCTAGCAAACTCTGGAGGAATCCTGGTTGGGAAACTTTGGCCTAGACCTTTCCGAGGGTCAGATAGATCTTGAGTCTCCAGAAATCCGTGCTGGAATGGGTTCATCGCTTGGAGTATCTTGGTCTCGTTCTAGACACAGCTCAGGCCCAGTATATTTGTTCCCTCAGGAGAAACTTTCCCACTCCCAAACTCATTATTCAGCCCTGGAGTGGTCCTATTCTCTGCTTTTTTGCACAGGAGTCCTAGGTCTAAAGCTAGCCTCTTACAAGGCAGTCCCATATGCCTTTTTCAGTTCAGATACCTGCAACACAACGTCGTTGTGGGAATGATGCTTTGTAGTCCATGGAGATAGCAGGAAATAATGCTAAATGATGGTCCAAAGGCAGAGATTGCAAGATGTTATTGACTTAGAAGATTTCTGCTTAGATGAATGGCTTTGTTTTTTTTTTTTGCACATGTCAGAGAGATATAATAAAACATGTTCAGTAGTATATTTAACAAACCAAAAGGGAGCAAATGAGAGAAATGTGTTTACATGTCCTTTTCATAAAGTCATATTACCTTACTGCCTCTGCTGTGTGTTAAGGCTGTTTAAATATCAAAGCTTGAGTAACAGTGCTGTCCAAAGATGCCCCTATGCTTCTTCATCCAAAGTTGGGGTACTCTTAATATAGGACGTGTGTTCCTGGCCAGTTAATCAGATGGAAACAGAGGAAAAAGTTAAGGAAAACTAATGCAGCCACCCCATCTAATGTTTTGTTGCAACATATTGCATTTGTGGTTTTGTGTTTAATAATGCTTTCAGTAAAACTTCCCATATTGTTTTCCATACTCCTATTACAGGACTCACATCCTGCATCTCTGGCCTGTTTGGCCTGTTGGTTAACACAGTTGTGTGCATCTGATAAGACTTCCCATAATATTTGCCATCAACCATATTTCTCTATGTAGGACCTCGTGATGAGTAGCGAGGTTTAGAAGTTTATACATTTTCCAAGAGTTTTCTTCATTTGATGTAACATTACTGCTTTTCTAAAGGCAGTTCCTGTTCATTCAGTAAAAAATAGGCATTGGTAAAAAGTTAAAGTTCAAATACTTTCCAATTTAATACAAATGCTGCCGAATAAAATGTGCGTACTGGGCTATATTGGTCATTAATCTCTAAGCTCTGTTCCCAATTGTCTGCCTGACCCTGCTTAACCATCATTAGAATTCTAATAGAACACTTGCATATGAAATGAAATTAATGAAAACATGTTGTAAATGTTGGAAGTAATTTATTGAAAGATTCATTAAGTTACAAAGACTTTAACATATTTAATTAGTCTTCTGGAAGTATGAGTGACCCTTTCTGTAAGTCACACAATAGCTGTTAGATATCCTTTATTCTGTTTTCTCTTTAAGATTAACTTTGTGCTAAGCAATTTATGCCAAGTTTCATTTCTTTTCACCAGTAGGCCAAGTTATCTGCAGCACTTGAATAGATTACTGCAGATAGCATCATGTAATTAACAAGAGATGTGGAAATGTAAAGTATAATTTGTGTAGTGATTGTGTGCAAGAGAATGTTAATTTCTTAACTAGATGGATATTTAAGGGGATAAAGAAGCTGAAAAATAGGGTATAATTCTGTAAAAGGATTAGGGCCACCTTATCTTTTGTTGAGGAGGTGGGCTGGATGAAGTATAATGAATGGAAAAGCTGAGTTTAATAAGGAATTTGTAGTTCATTTAAGACTTGGCTTCTTATAATGATTTTCTTTTGATTCAATAAACCAAATCCTGAAGTAGTTGATGGCCTTGAATAAAGTCACAGTATGTTAAAAAAAAAAAAAAAAAAAAAAATCACATTATATAATCACATTGTATAGTGTATGGTCACCTTGATTCCTTCTTATAAGAGTTATTTACCCTTCTGTGTTTACTTTATCACTGTATACCACTGTGCTTTGACCATTCATAATCATGCTATTTTGTTATAATAGGGCATGCCAGACTTTCAGCATGTTTCAGGTCCTGTGCCTGGCAATTTCAATCCACCTCCAAGACTTCAAGAACCTTGGAGGAACCCACCACCACTCCAGCCTGAGCGTGACCCATTCTTCATTGGAGGTACATGGTTTTATGCTCTCTTGTCTTATGTGATTGGTAAAGCTTAACACAAATGGTTTTACATGATGTTCGTATAGCAGTTTACATATGGTAGATTTTTATCGCTTCTGTCCCTCTGACCCATCCCCAAAAACTAACTGAAAAATAACAATAGAGACTGAGCTGGGATAGGTTTTACCTTTTTGTCACTCTATCCAAATCACTATTTTAGTCGAATGGTTTTAATTAAACTTTATTTTTGAGTAAACTAAAGTCTCAATATGCTTTGTCATTTACTGTGGAGTAAAGTGAAAGAGAAGCAACAGCAAATTGTGTTCCTTTGGGGTAAATATGCAGATCAGAAACTAGTCATGGACAAGAGAGTGTAGTGAGGGATGATGGAAAGGGAACCCTTTGTGAAATGGGAGCAGGGGGTCAGGAATGAACGGTTTCTTTCCTCATACCATTTTGTCTTTGTGTATGAAGTCTTTGGTGCAGTTGGCACCATGTCACCGCCTGACAAAGTGTGGCACTTACAATATTCAGAAAAGGGAGATTAGCAGATGCAGGATACCTGCATATATATGAAAGAACTGCTTAAGGGATACCAAGTTTGCATTTGGTTTTCATATTTTGCATTTTACATTTCTGCATTGCAAATACAGCATGAGGAGAATTTAGCAAGATTGAATCTAACTTGGAGTTAGAATCTGAATCAGCTGTGCATAGCAACCAATCAGCTTGTGGTTATGCTAATTGTAGTAAACCCCCCCCCCCCTATATGGTTTCTTGAAAGCACCATATCTACAATAGCAGATACCTTGATAACTATACACCTCTCTATGAAGAATTGCCCCACACATGTATTAACTCAGGGCTTGAAAAAGCTGCTTGCCAAATGTGAGGAGAAATTCTCGAGCGGCGAGCACAGATGATATAGCGGCTGCACTCCAAGCCTCATTGTGAAGCCGAGTTCCGGGTTCCAAGTTCCGGTTTCCGGCTTCTTCGGCACCACCGCTGAGGGGACAGGTGCAGGAGAGGTCCGCTCTCCTCAGCTGAAAGGAGACACCGTCTCCACCGCCGCGGGGGACTCAAGGAGTAAAAAAAACTATATACATGTCATATCACTATAATGGAGTACAGGGGAGCTGGGATATACATTACACAGTAAGTGAGCTGTGACGCTATATAAGTACCTGTAGTTAAGTGTTCTTGCATGGCAAGACCACTTACTGTTATCTCACATATATATTCTTATTATTATAGCCAAATTTACCACCCTAACTCCTTCCACAGTTTTTACACTACATAGACAGTAATATACCGAAACATGCGGATTGTTCCCGATTGGTGTGCTATTACTTTGTGCAACGTTTCGCCGAATGGTTCACGAAATATCAGCGTTTTTGTGGTGAAATTCGTCCCATAGGAATGGATGGGGGAATGTTCAAAACTAGAGTGTGAGCTGAAAAATCAGGACATGATTTCTAAACTGCCATCACTCCCTCATTTTCAAGCCCACCTACACAAATCTTACATCAAAACGTTCAGCTATTCCTGCTGCCACTAAAAATGTCCACGGTTAAGCCATAGTCCTGATCGTTTCTACAATATGACCATTTGTTTGCAACTCAGGCCGCCCGTTGACATTCATTGAAACTCCACTCTAGCCACCTCAAATTTGAAGGGCAATTTCTAAACTGCGACTGTGCCCTCATTTTTAATATTTCAGAGACATACTATGCATCAACATGTAGGTCTGGGTCTTGTGATTCTCACAATATAAAGCTCTTTGGTGTAGGATTTATCATTTTTAAACTACAACCATTTGAAGATGGCAACCGCCAGTGAAGTGAGCAAGTTGGAGCAGTTTGTTTTTAACCGCTCTTCTCTGCCCTTTCTTTAGAGTGAGTTGCCATAGGAACCCAGGTGTGTGAGCAGGCAGCAGAGTGACAAGCCACTCCACCCAGTTACTCTGCCCACTCCAGTTGTAGACTACTGGTGGAGGCAAGAACACTTCACACAATTTCCCCAGAAATTATAGCTTTTCTAGTTAATAAGTGTCCTGGGACCTGTGGCAGATGGGGCATAATGCAGTCCCCTCTGCGAAATCTAGTCCATGTATTTCTCCACTCCCTGGTAGAAGTACAGCCCCCTGGAGTAATTACTGTTGGATGCACACACTGCCTTGGATTGCCTTTTGAGGTGCCTAGTTTCTAGGTATTGTCATTGAGAAAATTGGCAGACTTTTATGCCTTTTTAGAGGGGGATACATGGAGACAACAATTTTTTTTTAAGATATTTAACAGTGTGATCAACTACACATGTCAGTCCTTCAACTCCAACAGAGTTGTATGCAGTCACTGTCTTGTGTGCGCTTTAACACCTCATTTTTTCAGTCACACTCATTTTACAATTGCTGGCAGTTTTCTAGTCAATCTTGGGCTCCAGATCCCAAATGTTAGTAAGTTCTGGGTGTTCACACATCAAAAGCCAATATGCACCTGCCTTGTTGTTCACCCCTAAGACTGAACAAGTAGCATAGGCATGTTACTCAAACTCTTGGTATAAAGATGAAGAAAATAAGCACAGAGTACAAATGCTGTGTTGAGTTTAGTTATTGCTAATATCAGATTCAGAATATGAGCTTGCACAATGTGAGACGCAATTTACATCCTTAAGCTGGCCATGCATGGATTGAAATTCATCTGGTTCAGCAGGTACCAGCCGAATTTTGATCAGTGTATGGGCAGGCTGGTTGTACACAAGTTGATCTAGTGATCGACTTATGTACAACCAGCCTGTTGGAAAATTTTCTTTTGATCATTGCCACTGGCGATGATCAGAGTGTTCTGACGGCGAGAAAGTCTCCCTGCTGTCAGAATACAGTAACTCAGTGGGAGGGATTCCCCCATCCACATAAAGTGTGTAAATGGGGGAATCTGGTCATTTTCCTTTGTTCAACTTGCTGGTTGAACAAAAAAATTGACACTTGTATGGCCAGCCTGAGGAACAAAAAAAAAATTGGATATGTAGCATAACTTAATTACCCTTAGACTGCAGGATGGTCCCAGCACAGATGTTTCCTAAGCCATCACTTGGTATAAAAATATTGGGAGAAATTGTGCCATAGTGAAAGAAATATGCTGTAATTGTTTTGAGGTGAACTAGGATCTCGTAAAAGGTCATGTTTGTTAAAAGTGAAGTTGAGACTATAGGTAAATATTTTTTCAGAAAGGCTTAAGTAATCAATTTTGGTTTTCGCAGTGAAACCATGCTGACTGTTTCATGGATAAGGGAATTAATATTTGTTATGTTCCGTGGACTTTTGTACCTGCTATGAAAAATGTTTTCCTATATTTGCGTCTTCATTTTTGGGATCTAGCTTTTTGAGTGTGCATTCAGTAAGCTCAGTTTAAAGGATAACTAAACCTCAAATTAATGTAATAAAATGGCCACTACTCTTTCCACTCTCCTTGTAATGGAGATCAAGAAAGGCAGACATTTGAAGTGTAGCCTGTATAGAATCCAGGGCTCCTTCCATAAATAGAGGTTTGTTTACTTCTGCTTTATATGTTTATGTTCTTTGCTGGTTTCTTAATAGGCTGGTTTTGCTTGGGACCCTGACAGAAAATGCTTGTGAAAAAATTAAAGCACATCTGCAAAGTTAATTAAGAGATTGGAAGCACCCTGTTTGCTTGATAGGCCCCTTTCACACTGGCATTCTTTATGTCCTTTTTCCACCTGTCTGTTGACCGATGAAAAACAGACACCAATGTATTCCTATGGGCAAGCGAATGTAAAAGGATGATCATCTGTGTACATCCACCTCCGTTTTCAAACGGAACATAGCCCTATTTTTGTTCCGTAAAATAAAAAAGGAATGACTGAAAAAAGAATGTTAACAGATGATATCCGTTTACATTCTATCCAATTAAATCATTTTTCTGCAATATGTAATTTTTATTTTTAATTTTTAATAAAAAATTTAACCTATGACCCAGGTAGGGGTCTAGGAGGAAGTGACATCCCTAAGACCAGAAAGCAGTTTGGGAAGCTCCATGCATGCTGGGGAAAAGCAAAGTGTTTTGAGAAATTTCCATGACTCATAAAAAATAGACCAACAACGGACGTACATGGAAATGAAAGCGATCTAAAAACTGATGTCCTGATCCCATCTGTTTTTCATCCGATTTTCTAAAAAAAAAAAAAATAATCCCACCGTGACTGAACGGATGAAGTAAACGAAATTACTGTGTGAAAGGACCCTTAGTGTTGTGTCCATATTGAGGATTTTGTTCAGAAATGTTCCATTCCAATGTGGATCCTACCATGTCTCGGCTTCACAAAAGACTTGCTATACCACAGCAGCCCAATGTATAGCATTACATTTTATGATAGTGTTCTGGAAGGTTCCGATCTCTTCTGTGCGCCTCATGTTGGTGCAAATGCTAAAGTTCTGTACTGCAAAACCTTTCTGCAAGAATCAATCTGCTTGGAATTCGAGTGACAAAATGCCATAATTTTAACTTTAAGTTACTTTGAGGTGATTGGCGAAGCTTGGACCCTGAGCTACTTGCCAAGATAGTATTCTTTCAACTATCAAACTATAGGGAAATCAGGAATTGTTTCAAATTTGTCTCCCCATTGAATGCAGTCTCAGGTTGATGACAAAGGTGTTACATCACACCAAAGGTTGAATTATTACGACCACTGCAGACCTCCCTTAAACATATTTTTTCCCAGGAAGTGATCATTCTGGTTCCTCTGAAGGACAGGTTCAAGGGATTTTATTCAAACCTGCTCAGTGCCAAAACCTAATGGGGGTTTTTCACCCTATCCTGGACCTCAAATCGCTAAACAATTACTTTCACATTCCAAAGTTTTGCATGGAATCCACAAAGTAAGTTATTGCATCTTTTTATATTTTCTTAGGAGTCTGTAGAGCATTGAACCTGCAATCAGCAGATCACAGTTGCAATGTCAGGCACCTGCAGACTCCCAGTAAAGCTGTCTGCCTG